CATTAAAAATCTACTCAGAAAACTTTAACTTTCTATTAAGTTCATGATCATACGCAATACTTAGAAAATTAAAAAACAAAAGAGTGATTCAATATTCCACAGCCATCCGTTTAGCATTCCAGGTTTTCCCACAATATACACGAGTGCAAATGAGTTTAATATTGATATTTTTCTCCTCAGCACTTCTCTTACAGCTCAAGTTCAGTATAGTAATTAATAAATAAGTAATTAATAAAAACTACTTTCACTGCATTAATTATTTTATATACATCATCTCACTTAAACCTTATACCAACAGTTTATCCCCATGCCCTACCCATCTTTTTGGATTAAATGAAGAAACTGAGACTCAGGGAGGTTAAATAACATGCTGGTGGCCAAGAGGTAGAGCTGGGATCCAAACCTAGGTCTATCATCCTCTGAGGTTTCTCCTTTTCCTCCAACCACATTAGCATCTAAAGGTAAGGATAAAAGCAAGACTGGGTCCAAAGTCAGAATGTATGGGGCTTATCCTTCAAAACAGAAAGGTTATCCTGGCTTTTTTAAAAATCACTTTTTTATACCCAGATTACTCTCACTTAGCAGCTACCGACTAACATTTTGCTTGATAAAGAAACCACATTTTGTAGAGTAGCAGTCTATCAGGAAGTGATCTATAACCTTGAGGAGGTGATATAAGTACATTATGTCACTCATTTAATCAGAAACGAATTTCTCATTTGAAACCTCAGCAATAAATTTCTGGGTAGAATATGATAAAATTAAGTAACAGAATACTAAGAGTAATGGAAACCAGAGCATCTGTTTCTGCAAATACAACTTGAAAAATTAACAAGCACTAAACCTTAAAAACTTCAATTCTTTTGTTTTCTATTTTCATTTTTTTGTCCACTGTTAGTAACAACAAGTTCGGCAGCATAACATTTTTAGGAGTCCCTTATGCAAATTAAACCAAATAAACAAAATTCACAAAGAGTATACAGTGGTCTCTTCACTCTGCGGAGAAGGAATAACTGGATTAAAAACTTTTTTGTTCTCTCACAAGCCCAAGGACCTAATCTTAGGTTGATTTTCAAGGTGATTTTTGGCTTGATTTGTCCTGGAGAATGCACTTACAAGTCTGATCCATCTGTCTGTCTCACATAAGCACGAAAAGGCTGGAGATTACTCTCAGATAAAAAGCACAAACACAAAATCTGGAGTCTAGAATGGACCTACATTAGGGCACCTTAAAAAAATAGGAAACCAGAGCACTCAGCAGGTCTAATTGAGGGGAAAACAAATTGCAGTATACAAACAAAGGACTACTACTTGGTCTCCTCTCCAGAAAAAGAAAGGAGAGTTTCATAATGTTGACTGGCTAACATCACTAGTAATAAGACCTAATAACATTATGTACACCTTATATCATGCTCTAAGAAGGGGACATCACTTCTATGGTATTCTTCCCAAATATAAAAAATACTTCAATCTATTCATGAAAAAACATCAGACAAACCCAAATTGTAGAACAGTCTACAAAAATACCTACCTATCCAATACTCTTCAAAGGTGTCAAAGCAATGAAATATTTAGGAAGTGTCACAGAAGACACTAGAGAAATATAACAACTAATTGGTACAACATTGTAAACTGACCTAATTCAATAAATAAAAAAGAAAAAGAAAAAGAAAGGAAGTTAAAAAAAGAAATATAGGAACTAAATGTACTGTGGGATTCTGGATTGGATCTTGGGATTGGAATAAAGGACTTTAGTGTAAAAACTGAATAAAGTCTGTAGTTCAATTAATAGTATTGTACTAATGTTAATTTCTTAGTTTTTATAACTGTACTATAGTCTACCATGGTCAAGTAAGATGTTACCATTAGGAGAGAGTAAAGGCAAACTATTATTTTTGCAGCTTTTCCATAGGTCTAAAAATATTTCAAAATAAAAATTTTTTTTAATGTTGGAGGTAAAAAAAAAAAGAATGAACTACCTACTGACAGACACAACATGAATGAATTACAAAAACGATTCACTGAGAAAAAGAAGCCAGACACAAGAATGCTTTAAGTGTATGACTCCATTTATATGAAGTTCTGGAAAAAGTAAAATTAATCTGTAATGACAAAAAGCACTGAGGCAGAGGGGGGTGCAGAAGAAAAACCTGACTTCAAAAAGGGAATGAGGGAACTTTTTGGAGTGATGGAAATATTGTGGTGGTGGTTAGACAGGTGCATACATTTTGTCAAATTCAATCTATATACTTAAAATGCATCTGTTTTATTAATATGTAACTTATTCTTCAATAAAGTTTATTAAAATTTTAAAAATAAGTTTGTATTTAAAAATATTTCACTGATAGTGTACATTTTGTACTGGGTAAACTAAAGTACCATGATTAACTTTTAAACTGATATATTAAAGCTGATACACTCAAATTGTTCATTCAGTAAATATTTACTGGGCACCTACTATATGTGAGGTTCAGGCAACACATAGGATATAAATGTGAAAAAGAAACCCTTACCCTTGAGGAACTCACAGGTCAACAGGAAGACAGGCAAGTGAACAAAAGCTGCCTTGACATACAAGGCGCTCTGATAAATGATATGCCAAGGTGTCAGGATTTTACAGAGAAGGTAGTCTCAGAGAAGGCTTGAGGAAGAATACAGGCCCTTTCCAAGAACTTACCCTGAGAAGCTATTACACTTATTTTAGGAATATTTATCCCAAATACTCAAAGCTTTAAAAAAAACATTTCTTTTAGTCTTGTCTCTGTACTTCATGGCACTTTTTCTGATGAAAAGTCCTTAGCACTTTAAGGGTGTGGTTGGTTTGTTTAAATAACCAAAAGTTAGTCACAGATAAATTTAATGAATACCATTCTGGAAAACAGGTGCAAGTATAAAGTCAATAAACTTCTTTTCCTATGTGCTTTTATGAACTGAAGGCAATACCACAAGGATAGTAACAACGTTTTTCATCCAACATAGACTTCTTGAAATAATGTATAGTCTCTCAAGAGGACTACTTTAAAGAGCTTTGTCCTTTGGAGTGCTGAAGTCTTGATTTGTTTCTTGGGGTGCCTGGTTTGAAATTAAACCTCACTATAAACTGTCATTATTCAAAATGATAACTTAAACATTATATACATATATATTGTATAACACAGATATACATGTGTGCTTACACTTGAATCTTAGTTCAGCTATATCATAGCCAACGTCTTTAGACAAAGTCCTAAAAATCTTGGCATTATCTGTAAAAGGAAAACAGTAATAGTACTATCTGCCACATGGGGATTTTGTAAAAATTAAGTAAGTGATGTGAATGAGATAATCTACATATTAAATGAAAGAACCTAAGTAAAACACTTAAAATAGGGCTTGGCATATAATAAACACTTAATAAATGTTAATAATTACTATTATACTTCTATATAAATGAAGTATATTAGTGTCTAGACTAAGAGCAAACATTAAAATATAAAATGGGATTACAAAAAACAAAAATCATAATTTAGCTTTAAAATTTAGAAACTAAGATTCAGTGGCCTTTTTGTGAAACAAGAGAATTCTTTTTTAAATTATTCATTGGGATATAGTTATCTCAATGCTCAGTAAAAAAAAAATGTGCCAAGCACATTACAGGTTTTCAACAAATACTGCATTGAGCTATTTCAATACAGTGAGATGTCTTAGTAACTAAGAAAAAAAGACTGTCACTTTTTGACCCCATTTACTTCTATTTCTGCTTTAGATAACATCCCTTTTAGCTGCCAAACTACCTCACCATTCTTTTCCCTGGGGAGCTAGAATTCTACAAAGGAGAGAGACTAGGATTTTCTCCCAATTTGGACAGCACGATCTACACTGAGAGAGTACAGTGCTTCCACCTGATTTCTGACAAGTATACCTGAAAGAGTCTGCATCCAGTTAGGAAAATATAAAAGAATCTAAATGCTGCAAAAACACCTTTAAGGCAACAGAAAACCAAATAAATAACAAAGAATATGGAAGGAAGAAAGAGAAATTCAAATCAAGTCAGTGTACATTTTTTAATATATAACTTGTTTGGTAAATATGCCCATATCTATGTAGCAAGTACCTATAACTACATGTGTTCATTTTTGTACATTTATTATTCATTTATATTTGTGGTCTAAATTGAACATCAAATGAAATTTGTCTAATTTGAAATGGAAGTCAATTTTTAATGCTATTATATAAAAGGTTTCTGAAGATGAGTGAACCTACACATTTTAAGGTTTTGTGTACTTAAAGACAGTATTTTTTAGAGAAAATTTCTGAAAGATTCTTTTCTGAGTGTCACAGCTATAGATATGTGCATTATACATGCACATGTGCTCAACTCAGTCCTTCATTCCTACTACCTCTTAAATGACACTTTCTCCAGACTGTAAATATTTTAATAAAAACTTAAGTTCTGAAAAGATGTTGCAACTGTTGGCTACTACACTGATTATTTCAAATATATCTCAGAGACAGGAACGGAAAAACAGCTCAGTGCTGGTGTTTAAGGTCCATCTGACAATGAACAAAGCTAACAGCTCTAGTTTTTAAAAAGTCTTTACATAGTATGTGTGAAATCATTTCAATAGAAAATGAACACATGTTCCATTTGTCTTAAGAATAACATTAAGATTCTTAACTGAAAAAAGTTTACCTGTGGTAGATACAAAATTCTATCTTTGAAGAACAGTTTAATAAAGTAAAAGCCAAAAAAGCCCAACTATACACAGTAAGGTATAATTTCATCATTTCATTTCTTACCAGGGTCTCAAAAGTAATTTAGCACTTGTTCTACCTATCTGTACAATCTAAATCTCAAGGATATCTGATAATTTCAATATTCACAAATCTCAATGGAAGCAGCCTGAAGACAAGAGCTTCTGGCAGCTAGACATATGACTAAATGAACAAGTGTTTATTGAATGGCTTACTGTGTTTTATCTAAAGCAGTAGTTCTTAAGCAATCAGAAAGCGCTACTCACCAGCAAGTGTATAATCCATATCAAAACCAAAACACTTAATTTTTTCCATGGCTAAACTTCGGTTCACAAACACCCTAAAAAAAGGAGTAAAAATGATATTAACACTGAAATAACAATAAAAAAATTAAATTCAATGGAATTATCTATCTTTCTAATCTCATTTAAATATCAGTATTAAGATTCAAAATAAAAACAACTCAAGTCCTTATTATACCATAAGTAACATCAGATATCATATGAAAATACATGAATTTTCTTATTGTGACTTAGTTTTAATGCCATGTACTCAAGATTTCAGAAAATCAGCTCTTCTTTTCTAAGTCTAACCCCATAAAATAAGCTTATTTCTGAGATTTTATAATTCATTCACTCATTCATTTGTAATTTATTTAATAAACAGAGGTTCATTTAAAGCCTACCATATGCCAGACACTTAAGACATAAATATAAACAGATTCACTCAACAAATACTTATTAAATGCCTATAATATGCCAGGTACTGTGATATGGCAGAGAAAAATAAGTATGTGCCCTCATAGAACTTACATTTTAACATACAATCTCGATCCTTGAGGAATTCAGCCTAACAGGGAAGAGACTTATAAGCAAATAATTATAACAATTCAATAAATGCTATAAAATAACATGGAGGAGGGAACACAAGTTGTTTAGAGACCAGAAGAGATGCTTGAGCTGACCTTAATCAGTAGAAGTTTTCCAGTTAGGACAAAGCAACAAAGGCATTCCAGACAGAATAACCAAGCAAAGACAAGGTTTGTAGTGAACTATAAAACATTTATTGTGGCTGGAGCTAAGTTTTCTTTAGTTTTGCTTTTCTGTTTGTTTTTGCAAACAGAGGTTTTTCCAGAGGAACAGGGAAAGAGGCAAAAACGGTTATGAAGCTAAGAAGGATAGCAAGGGTCAAAATCATGAAGACTGTATGCCACATTAGAGAGTTTGGACTTTATCCTGCAGGCAAGAACAAATGATCAGATTTTGATGAAATAAAATAATCAGATTCAAATTTCAGAATGACGACTATGAAGACACACGGAAAACTAAACATATAATAGTATGGTGGATCATCACCATGATGCTGTTTGCAGGTAAGTCTTAATCATCTCTGAAAATAAGGATATCCTTTCCATCTGATCCCCAGGTTTGGTTACTTTTATCCAATGTTCATCCTCTTATTACCAAACCTTTTCTTTGACTTCATTTCATAAGTAACTCTGAGAAATGAGAATGCTTCAAAAATCACCCAGGAAACTTGTTAAAAATAAAGATGTCTAAGCTGGGCTTCCCCCATTAACGATCTACGTCAGCAGTCTCCAAAGAAGAGTGACTGTACCTGGGGATACAGAAGACTCCACTGGGATACAGAAGAAAGTATTAGATCTTACACTGATACTATTTCATCATTTAAAAATGTCTAATTTGTGTACATTTTCTATTATGCACAAGTAAGAATAGCGTAGTATAATGTATAAATAAGCACACACAGGGATGAATATTCCATATTTTAACTTAAAGAGTTTAGAAACCATTAAATCTAGGTAATGATTTTTTTTTAACTCTTCACCCCTCTCATCTCAGAATGTATGCACCAATTTTAAACAGACAAATAATCAAATATTTGCTTAAAAATACTTTAGCTGGGGACTTAAAATCAATAGGCCCTTGCATTAGAACTGTCATTTTCAGAAAAACATGAAAATCATTACTCGTCTCATAGTGTGCTATGCAGACTAGATTAGTTGAATAAAACTCTTAGGTCCTGAGAGAGGTATTATATAAAATATTTATACTTTCTTTCCCTAAAAAAACCTAGTCTTCTGGAAAAATCAACATTTACTTTGATTGGGTTAATAATGGATGGGGGGGGAGGGTTGGGGAAGAATAGTGGATGGCTGAAAGACACAAAGAACTAGAGGATAAATGACATCCACCCAAAATTTTTTAAAATACCCCACAACTCCAAACATATCACCATGACTCTTCTACCACTTCATCAACTTCACTCTATTTTTACTGATAAGAGCATCTACTTTACTATCACCTTTTCCCATTTATATAAATCCTTATGAAGGCACAAGAGAGGGAAAAGACATCAAGTAATGGTTTTAACTCTGTATATATATTTTCACTGAAGTATAGTCAGTTTACAATGTTGTGTCAATTTCTGGTATACAGCATAATGCTGTCAGCTATACATGAACATACATACATTCATTTTCATATTCTTTTTCACCCTAAGTTACTACAAGATATTGAATATAGCTCCCTGTGCTATAGAGTATGAACTTGTTGTTTATCTATTTTACATATATATTAGTTAGTAATGGTTTTAACTCTGGAAACCAAATGTTACCACTGAAGCTTAGGCTTTTCAAACACACTCTGAATTCAGGCTAGGGGGCCAACTGGATCAAATCCTTGATCAGAGCCCAAACAGCTGACATGCCTAAAATATTCTATGGGAATTCAGGCAGGAACAGACTGGGAAGATTTTCTTTCTATGATACAATCCAGGAGAGATATATATGGGACCACATAATAAAAGAAACAGCTTTGATTCTGATAGAAGAATGATGCAAGCTGGTTTCAGGCACGGCTAAAATCACAGGGAAAAAGATACTTTGCTTTTATCAATCACTGCTAAATGGAGAAAGAAACTATCAACAGACCCACCTAGAGAGTTTACCCTCTTCTTTCTCATCCAGAAGAGAGGTTAAGCCTGTACTCCTTATGTTTTTAAGGATATAGAGATTTTAATGTACCTTGGGTATCATCCATACAAACTCTGGGAACGACATATTTCAGGAATAAGAAAATCTATTGTTTCTGCGAAAATAACTGTTGCTAAATATCCATCAAATCACATGCTTTCCTCTTTGACTAGTCACTTTATTCAATCAAAGTATTTGTCAAATGCTTATTATTACAAAGCAGGTACCATTTCTGACATATATTCTAGAAGCTGTCTTTTAGGAAGTAGCCAAAACTATTAAAAAGACTTTCTAGATGTCTAAAATTAGAAAAAAGGACATTTTCCTATGAAACCAAATACCCTTTATCTTTTCATTTTCATTTAAAATAGGTACCCCTACTCACAGAAGGAATCCCTCAACTTAAAAGAGAAACAATTACTCTTGTCTCCCTGTCTAATTCATTATGAAACAAAAAGAAACCTCACATATATTCTCATCTCTCCTTTTCTTTACCTAATTTATGCTACAAAACATGGGAGAAGGGGGCAATAGGGAATTAAATCTAATTCATGTGTGAATATCTAAAGTGCATAAGCAAAGCTATGATGACGAAATGGAACAGCTGCATTTTAGAGAACTGCAGTAATGTACATGCTGACTTACAAGATAATAAACATCCAAATGCTGAAAGTATGCACTGACTTCAGCAGAGAGGCAGCCTTGAGCCAGAAATACCACGTCTCCAGAACACAGTCTTAAAGAGAAACTAATTTCTTGGCCTCAAACTAATGACTATTCTTTACTGTTACAACAAAAGAAAGTATTAGGTACTGTATCAATTAAAAGCCTGGCTCACTGTTTCATCAGACATTTAAAACAAAAAGATCATATCTCCTCAGGGAATCCAAAAATTTCTTTTGGTCCCAGGACCTTCACTGTATCTTTGTCAATGCCAGTTAACTTGTGTCGCTTTTCTAAATTATTAACCAGTGGAACATACTCTACCTCTATAGCTTGCTTTAAATAAAGCACAAAGTCGCCAACCTAGAAAGCATGATTGAACTAATTAAGCACCTAATCTTAAAACACAATTGTCAGCCAGAAATTCCTATATGCTAAGTCATTTGCAAGATACAGATCTGAGCATTAAAAACAAGAGACAATCTTTAGGAGACAAATCAAGGAACACTAAAAAATCAGGCACAGACTTCAACAGAAAGACAAATGTAACAGCTTTTACTATTATATCCCACTGTAGTAAGGCATGAAACTTGAAGAAATGCTATCAAAATAAATACAGATATTAACCAAAAGAAATAAGACTATTAATATAATGAGCTCTAAGAACAGGGATATAATATTCTCACACTTAAGGAACATGAACATGCAATTTGCTAAATTTGGAATTTTGTAAATAGCAAACTCTTAATGGTTTGGAGATTTAACTCATAATTCAAAGCAGCATTACCTCATCTGTCACTGGTTGCCGTTCTGCAAAGTGTGAAACTATCTGAGTCAACTAGTTCTTGAAGTCACATAACAAAAATCTTCTTCAAGTCCCTAGTATAACTTTTTGTGTGTGACTTTAACCTAACTTCAGAAAGACTGTTTTAGTCTGAACCAGGCCCCTCAACAGCATGTATCTTCTGAGACAGTGTTGGAGAAAACACCTCTGTGTCTAATTTAACTTGTCATTGGATATCACTGTTGCTCCACACAAATTCATTTGGAATAGAATTTCTTTGGCAATGGTGAACTTTATCCCTAGCTCCTCCCCCTGCCTAGGAGTCACAATTTCCTGGCCAAAGGCCCAACAACAGTTACTGCAACAACAAATGAGATCAAGGATACAAGTTTAAAATCTTCTTGGACATGTTTTGGTTATGGGTTTGTGTAATTATAGACTCTAAGTTTGTTACAATCAAAGAAAAGAAAAAGTTACATGTGCTTTTTTTTGAGAGTGCAAATTGAGATTATCAACCAAATGATGTATTGTGTCTTTACTTAATAGAAAAATGTGATAATGTGGATTTTTGTTGATAACCTAATTTAGTATCTTTCTCCTCAAGCTAGTTTCTATTTCTGCTATTGGCACTCTCTTCCCCTCAAGCCTAAAATCTAGTTAATATCTTTCATTTCTTTCCTCTCCCTCAAATCTACATCATCTTATTTGCCTTCATTTAAATTTCCAAATGTCTCTAATCCAGATCTTCACACTGCTAACAATTTATCTAGGTTCTCATTAACTCTTCAGCAACCATCTCTCAACTGCTCTGCCTGCACACTAATGTCAGATTAATTGCTTTAAAGTAGTGCTACTCAAAGTGTGGTCCACAGCCCAGTGGTGGTTTGGGAATAGTTGT